CTGCAACAAGGGAGAGAGCCTTTGTAGCTTGCCTTTTCTGTGATGCTGTTGCATTTGTAGGTATTCTATTAATGAGTGTTGGGAAATGACCGGAATTAATATGTATGAATGAGCCTCTCTCTCACACACACACACACACACACACACACACACACACACACACACACACACACACACACACACACACACACACACACACACACACACACACACACACACACACACACACACACACACCTGTAAAATTGCCTTTGGCCATTTTACTTCTTTCGAATCCATGAAACAAGAAGCAAGTAAAATTCGGTATAACCCAAAATCTTACCTTCTGACTGGCCATTTCTCACTGCTGTTTTGGTTTAAAGATGCACTCTCTATTTGCTAATTCAGTTTCTTTATCAACACTTCTCTTTAACTCTTATTAATCCTGCGATTCGAAGGGAAAGATTCAGTGAGATTAATAAAACAGTACAAAGCAACTTTCAGCGCGTTGTCTATTTCCACGCAAAGCACATTACTCATATAATATACACCGCCGTACGAATAGAGATCTCCTACTGGCAGCACTGTGTAAAATCATTCATTTCCTTATCAAACAACCCTTCTGTTCACAAAGGATCAACAAGGGAAGATAAACCGTTTTCATGCTGATATATGTATAACAGATATGAATGAGAATGAATATCTCCACGAAACGAGAGATGGAGTTGACCTGTTTCGAATATATCTTCGTCAGAAATACACGTATATTTGTATTTCTGATGAAGATATAATGGAAACGGTCAAATACATCTTTTCTATAGTGTATGAGGAAGAAAAGTTACATGGGGTGGGGGGGGAGGGTATGCTAGCTAATTTAAAAGCTAGGCGAGTTACTTGCTCAAGCATGGAAACACTAAGTTATTTTTTTATGGCCACGGACCGCTGAATAATATATATTTATCTAAACTGCTTAATTTATTAATATTTTGCGTACATTTAGTTTTCTTAATCGCTGTTATTCTACAATCATATATATATATATATATATATATATATATATATATATATATATATATATATATATATATATCATCATTTCTGCCCCTGATTTTAAAATACATTAATCCCAATCTACCAAAATACATATTTCACAAAATCTTTACACACAGTTCAAACTGATATATCTCCCAGATTACGCATGAATGGCCATATATGTATGTGTGTGTGTGTGTGTGTGTGTGTGTGTGTGTGTGTGTGTGTGTGTGTGTGTGTGTGTGTGTGTGTGTGTGTGTGTGTGTGTGTGTGTGTAGCTGCCGTCCTTTCAACCTCACAACTTTAAATCTTATTCAGCATGTTAAAGCGCGATTGTGTCCGATGCACAGGAACGGCCGAACGAAAGACGGAATTACTGAATTTCGTTTGCGGGGAGAGGGCGGCGCGGGCGCTGGGCACAGCATGACTTTTCGATGGTGACCTTGGTCGTGAATGATTCGCCTGCGCTGCTGAGCAAGAAAATCGCATGAAACTACACATTTCGTTTGCGGCTGTTGATGTATGTGTATATCCATGTACATGTATGTATGTATGTATGTATGTATGTATGTATGTATGTATGTATGTATATATGTATATATGTATATATATATATATATATATATATATATACATATACATACATATATATATATGTATATATATATGTGTGTGTGTGTGTGTGTGTGTGTGTGTGTGTGTGTGTGTGTGTGTGTGTGTGTGTGTGTGTGTGTGTGTGTGTGTGTGTGTGTGTGTCTGTGTGTATGCGTATGTGTATGTGTTTGCGTAAGTGTACGTGAGGGAGTATGGGAAACTGTATGTGTGCATATTCACATATGTGTACATATAGAGACTCATACATATACCTATCAAATACACACACGTGTATGCATTTATATGTAAACACACACGTATATATATGTGTGTGTATATATATGCATATATATATATATATATATATATATATATATATATATATATATATATATATATATATATATATATATATATATATTTACGCAGATAATCGATAATATCCTACACAGTGTAACTTCAAACTGCCGAACAACAATTGGCTGCGAACGAGCGACCGCCGAGGCACCTTCTCCTAGCACTGCCAATCGCCAACTGCGTCTGCCTCCGGATCCCGCGAATCCTACGGCGCCTCGCATGACCTTACCTTCGGCTCGGCCAATGGGAGCGCGGCGCCGGGTGGGAGGGGCGCCGCACAGCCAGTTACCAGAGAGGCTTTTGTCACCCTCAGGAGATTGTCTCGCCGTCGCCACTTATTCAGTGTGAAGTGGCCCACACTTTCGACTAAAATCTTGGAAAAACTAGCTAGCTGATAAAGGTATCTATCTCTAATAATCTCTCTAGCGAGCGTATCGCTCGCTAGAACGAAGATAACATTCTTGAAGTTTCCATGACGTCTGCTCTCGCGATAAGATAAGGGCACCAGAATTTCCGATATCGCAAGGGAAGATCTCGTTGCAAATGTGTCGATAAGAGACTAATAGTAAGTCAAAGGCTCCCAAGGTTAGAGGAGTGCCAGCGAGGCCCGCTCGGTATATCACACCTGCATGCTAGTCGCGCACCTGCGTCAGGACGTCACACACCTGTACATATTACACACCGGTCCTACACTGGCATTTAATGAAAGTCAATTAATACTATGGAGGGTATATGTAAAAAGAAAATATTGCTATGCCTCGTTGACATACGTTCCCTAATCGTATGAGATATAACGTCAGCCCACAAAATATCAATGTTATACACTAGTTCAGATATTGTAGCGAAAAATCAAGGACTTAATTAACAATGAGCATTACAGGTATCAGCAACCGCAACAGCCAAATAGCATGACTAAACAAAGATAATAATAGTAAGTACTAACATCCAAACCCGACAATGATAAGTCCCTAAAACCCTTTTTTCTCTTCTTCTCTGGGTGCACACGACACCCGACTCCCATCACTCCTGTTCACATTTCAGCCACAAAACATCTACGCACTCAGCGTCCTTCTGGATCCCAAGAGGCGTCCACGCAAACTTTCAGGAGTACTCCTAAATCTCCTTTTGTGGTTTCTCAAGGTAGTCTGGTGTGTGTTCTGTTCTCCGTCTGGCAGCGCAGTCTATATTTAACCCTCTCCAAGTTGATAAGCAAAAAAGGATACTCTAGCATAGCCTTCAACTAGTGGCTCTGCACTAAGCTCTGCGACTTATCCTTCTGACTATTACATATTAGTTGTGATTGGAGAACAAACACTGATTGTTCCGTTCTTCGATAAAATTAAGTGTCGTTATACAATTTTATCCTTCCATAGGGAATACCTGGATAATATTTGGTCTTACAGCACCTCACTGTATATATCAATATATCAAGTAACTATAGACAGACACTAAATACTAAATAAGCTATACACAGCATGCTATGAGTGGGCATCATCCCATAGTAGGAGATTTGCACTGTCTTTGGCTTGTATTCGCTATCCATTCAGGATCATAAACATTTTAGCAACTGGCGAGCCCGATCGATGTCCACGTCACTTGCTATCGACGTAGTGTGTCTACTGGCTTCGGTAATGCTACAGCATCGCAGGATGATCAGAAAGTACACACGCAGAGAATAATAGTCACTAATTAGAACAATTCTGCCGTGGAAATAGACACGTGCGAACATATGTACAGCATCACTACATGCGGAGATGGTTACCACGTTTTCAAATGTACTCAGTGTCTATCATGACGCAATGTCAGTCTTCTCCGCATGCAACTTTTCACACACAATGACCACCTTCAACAGCGTAGGGATTGCCTCTCGCAGACTGTCGGCAGCTGAGCGGTGGGGGATTTTTATCTTGTGGCCGGAGATGTCAGGGGTCGCAAGATAACATTACTTCAGCTCGTGATACCTTTTATCTTGGAATTAACACCCGCTTGAAAAAGACTGATAACAAATAGTGTCAATGGATGTATATATAAAGTGAGAGAGAATGTATATATATACAAATATATGTATATGTATATATACACGCCAACACAAACACATTGTATATGTGTGTATGTATATGCATACACACACACACACAAACACATATAAATATATATACATTACATACACATACATATGTATATGTACATATACATATATATGCATATGTATATATATATATGTGTGTGTGTGTGTGTGTGTGTGTGTGTGTGTGTGTGTGTGTGTGTGTGTGTGTGTGTGTGTGTGTGTGTGTGTGTGTGTGTGTATTGTACACACGAACACACACTCAATGCCCATCTTGCTGGGAAACGTCTAAAGTGTTTCGGCGAATCGGTGACGCTGAGACAGATTTTTCCTTTTTTTTTTTGTTCATCACCCAATCGCATTCTGGGATCTACATGTGCGTTATCTAATTCTTCTTCTTAAAGCTGCGTGGGTTAGAAAAGGCACAGGCGGCAGTTGACGCTTTTGCCGGTCTTTATACTTTCTCCCTCGAGCTTATAGCAAGTGACAGCGAAAGGGAACAGCCAGTTCTCTTCTGCAGTAGGACACACGCACGCACGTACGCACACACATATACACGCACGCAATTACGGCTGCACGCACACACACACACACACACACACACACACACACACACACACACACACACACACACACACACACACACACACACACACACACACACACACACACACACACATGCACACAAATACATACATGTGTGTGTATGTATTCTTTACGAATATCCATCAATCCTATGCATAAATATTTCTTTTCACGCTATCAACTCTAAGGCAACGAGAAGGTGAAATCCTCGCATTCTGTATCAGGGCCTCGAACCGGTCCTTTCCTCAGGACTCGTTCGGCGTCGCTTCCTTGCCCACTGCGCAACCCCCCCCCCCCCCCCACGACCTCGATTCCATCTCTGCTGTGGAGTACATGGTTCAGTCATGTACACATATGCATATATGCATATACATACATACATACAATA